AGGAATTCCCTCATAAACATCACAAACTCAAAAAGATGAGATTACTTTGGAAAAGTAACACTTACTCGTGAAGAATGCTGCGAGATTTGCTGTATATGTGGATATCAAAATCAAGATAAAGAACCAGAACGTAGAGGCTAACAAACGACCAGAAGGCGCCAGTGGGGTGTTGTCTGGACCTTGCTGTAATACAGAAGCTGTAGCAAACCACAGGCTGTTCAACAGGTTGAACTCATTTCCAGGCTCATCGTCTGATTCACGAGCTCGAGCACGGTAACCAAATGGGCTCAAATAGTCCATGACACACATCATTCCAGTGATAAACAAAACCTTAAAAAGCAAGCTTCATATTTTTACAATGTGACAAAGCAACGTTTTGCTTCCTAACGATCCTTCCTTTAAAAAGAGGGATGCATACTTATATTACCATCCCACCTCGGACCCTATCTCAAAACACAAAATGGGAAAGGGTGTGTTTAAGAGGTGGAATATGATCTTTGTCCAAAGTGACAACAGGGACGCATTCACTGCTGAATGTTTTTCAACTAGTAATGGCCTTAAGCCGGCACCTAAGAGTCTTTGTAGCTTGGCGGTGGATCATCAGAGCACGGAATCCAAGGTCGGAAGTTTGATTCCCCATTGGGACTCAGATGTTCTTTTTGTACCACGTTTGTGACAGGACGAAAAATATCTATCTCTAAGAACTTCAGACTGTTGGAAATGAGACAAGAACCTAAGAATCTGATGGTGGGTTACTGATCTCTGTCTGGAAATGTTGGCAGCCTCCCACATACACAGCTGTTTTAATTTTGAATTCTCTTTGATTCATAGAGCTGCATGATCACAAGCCTCCGTTATACAGGAATGTTTATTTCAAAGGGTCAAGCATGTACACCTACCACACCAATAGTGGACAGCCACACTGTACCAGTAAATGGTTGGAGAAAAGCAAAGTTGTTGATAGCAGGCTCATTGGCTTTCTGCATAATAAGGCTCAAACTGAAGTCCATGAATGGCTTACTAAAGTCAATGTCCTGCTCTCGTTGTGCAGTTATTGTTATTGGTACAAGTGCCATATCCTTTTCCTAATAGAAAACATGAAAACAAAAATATACATAATAAATACAGCACCTGAGATTTGTCTAATTTCCACACAGGATACACCAAGTGTTGTATTTATCAAATTGAACCCCACTGTGGGATGAGTTAGCCCTCTTGTCACAGCGTATAGAATAATTGTGGGTTGTGTTTGGTTTACATACAAAAAGATGCAGCTATGCTATTGGTGGGAACATTGTTACATGAAAACACAAGTATGAATTAGTTGAATGAAAAGTGTTTTTTTGGTGCCATGGGGATTCGAAGTGCCAAATCTGAAGACATAGATGCATTTTTGCTCTATAGTTTTGCCACTTTCTGAACTGCCCAGATGTAGAGAGAGGTTGCAGACTGCCATATGTTGCTTAACATATGGCAGTATGCTTAACATATGACCAACAATCACTCTGTTTGCTCTAAGGAAGGCCTAACAGTCAAACACAGGCTTGGGAAACTCTTCACAGTGGCTGATTACACATTATCAACTCATTTGATAACAGTTGATAACAGTTGATAACACTGTTGATAAAACCAAACTATCTTATGCCACTCATGGATGAGAAGAGGCAAAAATGAATGTACAACGCACTGACAATTTCACAAGCCAAACACCAAAATGGATGGAACCCTTCCAAGTTAAGACCAGCCTACCAGTTAATTTACTCAGAAAAATTCAAACTGACATACCTTTTTGTGTAACACATTACCTGATTTTTCAGTTCCTCGATTACATTTGCATATTTTCTGTCAGGTCTCAAATAGATATCGTACTCAAACTTTGCTTCTTTTGACAGTTCATGAATCACATCAATGAGAAATCCTTGTAGAACTCCTTCAGTAACTTTTCCAGCTAGATCCTCAAGTTTGATAGATTTATTTACTGCCTCTACAAATGGTGGCTCCTGTGGGGGGGAAATGTCAAACATTTCATTAGTTTATGCCTTACCAAAGCTGTCACATCAAATAATTGTCAAATCCTGTACAGTGCTTTCTATTCAAGAGTAGAGGATGTACTAGCACTGATGGGATATTCATTACTGATAGAATTATGTCTTGATAAGTTTGGAATAAATTTCACCAAACATTCACTCCTTGGGAGAGCAAAGATCTAGAGGTGATCTTCAGATTTCCTCATTTAATATGGGCTATTTTCCACTGCATCCTTTAATTAGAAGGATATTATTGAGAGCTACAGGGTGGAAGTCTAGACAGCCTTGAAATAACAATCAGTGGGTTATAATAGAGACAACTTAACCATTCTACTCCTAGATCTCATTAGCGATTCTCCTTACTGTCTGTGATACAATTCTTATGATGTTAGTTCAGAGAATTTTCTATTGGATCATCTACTGGGTGATAATTCTCTAATTGACATTTTTCTTGATTCTCATCACTTGTCTGCTTGATGTTGTATTGATACTGTAAGGAGAGATTTTGTCTTGGTCATGGACATGTCAGTTAAAGGGCTAAAGATAGCAAGTTCATAGTCCTCAACACTAAATTTTGCATGCATAACACAAGTTACTAGTGATCTTCTCTTAGAAAAAAAAACATATTCCCTCGTTCACTGATCATAGGTAAAACAAGTAAAGTGCAACTGTTCCTTCATAATAGATGAAAACTCTAAAAAATAATCACATCCAGCGTGCAACCAAGAAAGTTTTCAACATGAAGGATTCAAGAGTCACGCACTGAATTCTGATTTTTCCTAAACAATACTTTTTTTCATCCTTGTAAAACATTAAAGTTACAAACAACATGGGAAAACCCTTCACTCATAAACCATGTCATTCAGATGACACCCTGTGTGTGCAACTGACCCCTAATCTCTGAAAAGAAACTCCTTCTTGTGGATAAAGGCTGATAGTTTCGAAAGAAACTGTTTGGGGTTGGGTCAGTGGGAGTAACAAAATAATTTGGATATATCAACAAAGTTGAAATGGTAAATTGGCCACCGTAACGATTACAAAAGCTGACGTTTTGAGCGTTAGCCCCTCGTCGGAGCTGTACCAGACTACCAAATGATTGAGTAACAAAACATCTTATTCTCACCAGCACTGTAGTAATGTTAAGCCTTGGTAGGCTTATTTTTAGGCCAAGATTTGTGAGATCTGGATTGTGATTATGGCATTTTACAGACTCATAAAAACATCCAAGCCACTTGGGCTCTTCACTATTCTCTGGCAGAACATTGTGTCCATTGTTTCCAGGCTCTGGTCTCCACGAACCAATCTAACATACAAGGTAAAATATAATTGTTATATAAAAAGTAAGTTACACCTTGCAAATTCAGCTTGTGATCATAGAGCTCATCCTGTCAACCTTTTGCTTTTTCTCCCAGTTAGTATTTGTGTGCTTTGATTGGTCAATTTAGTGAGCTCTATTTCCCTCTTTCAGGCCTGCCAAATTCAAAATTTTGTTTCAATTGAAATCTTCCTCCTCCCTTTGAACCCAGAGAGAAAAGAAAATAATATCTTACTAACCTTGTTTTATTGGTCTGTACTACAAGTTAAGGAACTTCTCTTTTTTTGCTCTGATTTATGGCCCTTGTACTTCTTAACCACTGCCTGGTTAGCTCAAGTGGTAGATCACTGGACTGCCATGCAGGAGGAGTAGGGTTCGAGCCCCAGACCAGACCAACACTTAGGGTCTTAAAATAACTAAGGAGAATGTGCTACCCTTCTATTATATCAAGAAATGGATAGACATTCTAGTCTTCTCAGATGGGGACGAAAAACCGTAGGCCCTGTTTCCTGCATCTTCTCTGCACTGGTTAGCAGGGGACGTTAAAGAACCCACACACTTATCACAAAGATTTGGGAACGTAGCTCTCGGTGTTGTGGTCTGGCCTGTTTACTGAAATTAGGGGCATCTGTTAAAACTAGTCTTTTAAAAAAATTGTAAACTGCTGCAAGAAGTCTTTTCTCTGTTAAGTACCCCGCAAAATATTGTATTGTGCATTTGATCATATTCTGATGTTAATTTGCACAATATAAATATTAAATTATTACTTGGGCCATAAATCTGAGTAGAAAGACTTGTTCTGTAACTTACAATACAGACCTCAAACTCAGTTACTAAGGGTCATATAAATAAAAAATATGTTACATCTTGCAAATTCAGTTTATGACTCAAGTGTTCAACCAGTCAACTCTTAGCCTGTGTACAGCTGGCGCATAGTTACTAAAAGTTGGAATCACCTGAAACCACCTGAAAGCACCTGAAACCATCTGAAAGCACCCGAAACCATCTGAAACCATCTGAAACCACCGATGAAACCACCTGAAACCATCTGAAACCCCCAAGGAAACCATCTGCAATTACCTGAAAATATCTCGAAACAATTTAAAACGACATGAAAGCACCTAAAAAACTACGGGTAACATGAGAAAAGAAGTGTTAGCAATCGAGGGTTCTGTCCTAGTGTACCGGTTCACAAGGGAATTACCATTGTTCTTTCTTTGTTTAGGAGTCATTGGTTAGCTGTTGTGTATTGTTCGGTCTTTTGTAACGGCTCTTGTGAACCGGTACAAGAGGACAGAGCCCAGGGAGCTCGGCTTACGGATATCGTATATAATGCCCTACAGTACAGAATAGGCACCACAAACTGGGCTTTAAGCTTTTTCTTTCTCAAAATCTCAACTATCTAGTCAATTTACTTTGGCAGTGGAAGTTAAAGCCACCATTCA